AAAGAAAATGGCTGGTTGCGGGGATGGTGCAGTGTCGAGAGCGCTCGCCTCCGACCGCTGTGGCATGCATTCGATTTCTGGACGTGGCGTTCCATGTGGGCTGAGTTGTGTATTGATACTCGTCATTGCTCTGAGGGTTTTCTCCAGGTCCTCCGGTTTTCATCCTTCTACAAAAACCAACATTTCAAATTCCAATTCGACCAGGAAACAGTGCACAAGAATAGCCACCGTGTTCACTGCTAAATTCCGTGAATTTCCATGACTCGATTGCTTCTCATGAGGCTCTTGTCTTGGCTAATCATGGCATTTTAGAGTTCTCTGTAGCTCAGTGGTTGAGCATCAGAGCGCGGAATCCGAAGGTCAGGGTATCGAATTCTCGTGGAACAAATAAAAAATCTGACAGATTTTTGTCTTTGTTCCAGGGTCGAGACAAATTATTAAGATATTTCTATGCATTATATCTGCCACAGTTTCTATTATCATGGGTTTCCCCAAAGGACCCAAATGGAGTGGTGCTCAAGTATGATATAAAGATAACACAGGTATGCTTGTATAAGGGGTTTGTTAGTTTTCATTGAATCGAATGACTAGCCTACGAGCAGGCTCTCGTCATAAGCGCCGCACGACGCGTGTTTCTCCTCCCGCGGGAAGATTGGACACGAGTCGGGGAGAGGTTGGCTGGGGTCTGGCACTAATAAAGAGGGTGTTTCACCCCTTGCAGATCTCCCGTTGACTCGCATTCATCAAGGCCTCATTCTTCCCCGCAGGCAAAGAAACGCTCGTGCTGAAGCGCTTATAATGAGGACCTTCGCACAGGCCATTAGAAGATTGTATGTTACTGTGCGTGCCGTTTTAGAATAGACTGTTTTGCGAGACCTAAGCTTCCAAGACCAACTGAAAGTGTTTTGGAAGGATTTGGGTAATGAGTGACCTTGCAGATCAAAGATTATTATCGGATAACCTTGATTTTAAACCAAAGTTTGAAACCAACGTAGGTCATCTTTTTGAAACGTGCTTTGAATGACAAAATTGCTCTGTCGTTTATGATCAATAATTTAGTAAAAAAACAGAATAAAATACATGTGCAAATAATGATATTAGCCAAATGATACAAACACCAAGAGCACTTTGTTTTTACATTGAGTAGCTAGAGACAGAATTCCAAAAAAATCAACAAATGACTTTAATTTTGATTTGTAAATTGATCGACCCTTAGGAGCTGTAAACTACAAATAAATTTATACACCCACACGCAAGTATTACGAGAGAAAAATACACTGTATCACAAGTAGCCCATAGGAAGTCGAGGTAGATATGTCAACTACCTTAAGCGCGGAGAGGAGCGGGTGAGCAAAGTGCGGATGGATTTATTTTTTGCTTCTGATTGGCTGAGATGGTGGCGTGAGGTTGAAGAACCAATCGTAGATTGATGCCATGACACTCCCACACTGCTTTCCGCATTCAAATGCGAAAAAAAACCTTTTTTGTTTCATTGTATATCTTTTTCAATTCTTAGTCGGACTCTCAACCTGAATTCAAGTGTGTGAGTGGCAAAGAGTTAAAATACCAAGAGAAAGTAGAAGATGGAAACTATTCTGCCCAAGTTAGAGCTATTACCTCGTCCGGCAATGGATCGTGGAGTAACACTGTGTCTTTCTCGTATTTCATTGAATCGCAGTCCACAGGTAAGTTTAAAGCTATTTTTTGGTATAGTTCCTTTTTCTCCAGAGCTACCGTAAAGCTGTCGCTCTTGCTTTGCAATCCTTCTCCCTAAAAAGTCTTCCGAGGTGATAAGAAACTCTGTTTTACAGCGAGGTTAAAACGATTTTTATTCGGCAGTCCTTAATTGACAAGAAAAGTTCGGCGCCCGGCTTTATTTTGAAGGAACGGCTTTTGGGAATTTGGAAAAGGCTTATGTAGCGGCAGTAATTACATGAATTTTACGAGTACAGAACAAGACTGTTTGCAGCATTCTCCATTCTAACGAGAACCAAGTGAAAGAACACAAGTGGATGTACTACAAAAGGGATAGTGGTTATTCAAATCAAGTGTTTCTCAGTAAATATCCGGGAAACGGATTCAAAAGCGTGCAGAGGGGAACTGGTACTAACTCACAAGCCGGCTCTCAGACTTCTTTGCAGCCGTTTTTTGGATGTCACGCAGCCCTTTCTTCAAAAGAAAGGGTACGATTGTGTGACATCTGAACGGACGACTGCGAGGGAGACCAGGCGCTTTTGAACCGTGCCCTAACTTCGGTTGGCTTGGGTACCAGAGAGACTTCGTTTGGTATAAGGTGCAAACACAATTTTCACTAGGTTGTAATTCTCTGCGCCACGGAACGCATTCGTACCTTGTCAAATTATTTTGCTTTTGTGTTTTGTTGCAGTACCTCCCATCGGAGAAAAAGATGCGTTGTCCCTAGGGACTATAGTGGGAGCCAGCTTGGCTGCTAGTGTTGTGTTTGTGTTAGCTTGTGGTTTTGTTGTGTGGTACATTGCTCGTCAAAGATACAAGAGGTAAGGTAGCGCTGTTCACTATTGCCATGGTAACAGTAATTCATTCTTCAACATGAATTCACATGAATGACAAATTCTTGGTTCTGTTTTGAAAAATTCCAACAGGGTTTCTAGAAAGAAATTTTTAAATGCGCCAAAAAGTCTCGAAAAGGTAAACCAAGTTATGGCAGACTTGTAGGGTACAGAATTTCAATGAATAACCATTTTCTGCCTGCAAATGTCGCCCAATTGAAGAAGAAAGGCATGAAAGGAAATTTAAATAAATGAAAGGAAAATCGTTCCTTGCAGTTGTTTTATCCAACAGTCGGAATTTATTTCTCTGTCTTCCATGGCAAAAGCCCAAGTTTCAAATTACCTTGCGGTAGGCCTTGCTGTTTTCTGTTTAAGCTCAGCCGAGCTGTGCGCGTTCCTTCCATCAAAGATTCCATGAATGTATTCAAAATAACTCATCACATGCTTGCCTTTTCTACGACCGCTTTTCCAATGCTTTGTTTGATCACATCAGGTACAGCGATGAACAGATCCCGGGTGTACTTTATGCCTCTGTTAACCCAGAATACATGACATCAACAGACGGTAAGGGGTAATTGCTTCCTCAAAGATCTTCTTTCTTTTTTTTCTTTTTCTCTCCAACAGTTCGGTACGTTCTAACTGGATGAATCTGATTTTTTTTCAATATTTAAATAAAGAGATCACTTGCAAGTACATCGACTCTGTGAGTCCCACAGCGTATAGGGTGATGTCAACGTGGGAAATTTTAGATTACATCCCCATCCCAACCCCAATCTTGTTCTCCTTTGCCATCGTATGTTGGTGTGGTCGCGCAATACGTTCTCTCCTCCTGGAAAGTGTGTTGCAGTCCAGACCAGACATTGGATTCGACTAGAAGGAAATGGACGCACGTCATCCAGAGGGGGCTATAGATTTACCCTCAGAGAGAAAACCCAATTAATTTTTCTTTCTTTTGAAGGGAAATTTCAGTTTACTCTTTATCTTCTCTGCCATAGAAAATGAATAAAAACTTCCTTTTATCCGTGAGATTCAACTGAACGGCAGGCCGGGAAATTCCTAAATCAACTAGGAGATCTGCCAATCATATTTACGCGTGCGTGAGCGGAATAGAGTTTTAATGTAAACTTTGTTGAACCCTCTTTTTTTGTGATTGCAGTGTACATTCCTGATGAATGGGAATTCCCCCGAGAGAAAATCAAACTGGTTCGTGAATTAGGAAATGGTTCCTTTGGGATGGTTTACGAAGGAGAAGCTGAAGATATTACCCCCGGTGATCCAATGCGTAGAGTGGCTGTGAAGGTATTAAATCTGTTTGCTTTCTTGATGTTTTCTGTCGTAAAGCGAATTTAAGTTAAACGGACGTGAAGGATGTTTACAGGAAATATAAAAATGTCGTCTTTTTTTTTTTTAAACTCAACTTGCGTCATTTTTTAGCATTTGTTTCCACTCTCAAAATTGAAGCGGCAATGAAATGACCATCCAGTGTAAAATCTGCTCAAACATGGTGGCTAAAATGATCAGCAACCTTTTTACATTACTTCAATGTACGCATTGTTATTTGGCTATCGAAGGTAATCCTAATTTGGTAAACAGTTATTCTTTTGTGATTGGCCCAAGAATTCAAATCATCTTCTCACAGAGTTTGCACGGGTCCTGGAAAGCCTAGAAAGTCATGGAATTTAGGTTTGGCCCCGGGAAAATCATGGAAAGCCATGGAATTTTCACAGCTTAAAAGTGTGTGAACCAACCAATCAGAGTCAAAAGTAAAACCCATCTTGTCCTAGCACTAGCGTTTTCCTGCGTTTCAGGCAGTTGACGGGTAATCACGGGATTACCATTTGATCCGACACTTAATTCTCAGGACTAAAATTATAAGCAATATGTGGTAGATAGTGAGGGGAATTACTAAAGAGATCTTAGGAGTGAAAGGGTTAAAGACTTGCTCGATCGTTCAATGTGTTATTTTCCTCTTTACAGACTGTAAGTGAAAATGCGTCGATTCGAGACAGGGTGGAATTTCTTCAAGAGGCGTCTGTTATGAAGTGAGGGTTCATAAATTGTCGTATTCAGTTTTTCAGTACAGCTACTTGGCTTCGTATTTTCAGGTCTAATTTAATCACTGTTTTAATTAATTCTAAAATGATTGACGCCTTTGTGGCGATTATAAGAGGCTGTAGTCATAGCGTCATAAGGAAACATTAAACTTGAAATTCCTGAAAAAAATCCCTGAAATTGGTGTAATGTAAACAGAGCAATAATTTCGGCGGTCACAAATTTCTTAGTGACAAAACAACGTAAGTGTGCCACGAAAAGTCTCGGTAATAAAAGCAGTAACGAAAACTTAAGAAGTGGTTCTTCACATTTTTGTAATAAAATTTTGAAGTGGATGGCAGATGTGACCCTTGCGTTATATATCCTTGATACTTTTTATGTGGCGTTACCATTCGTACAAATTCCACCATCACATTTATCAAGTCCTTCTCTGAACTAACTCTGATACATGTCTTTGCTCTCTTTTCAGACAATTCTGTAGTAACCACGTGGTAAGGTTATTGGGTGTGGTCTCAGAAGGGCAACCTACTCTTGTTATCATGGAGCTTATGGAGCTGGGAGATCTTAAGAACTTCTTAAGGTCTCGTCGGCCAGGGGTAAGATCTCGATTTTAACGAACATTTAGCGGTGGTTATACTAGGATTTTACACTTGAGTGAAGCGCGACGGAAGTTTGGCGACCGTGTTTTGACTTAAAAGTCGTGTTGATGTCACGGGTAACAGGATCCGGCGGTTACCACTGGAAACGAGGAAGGTTGCCCGTGACGACCTCGTCGCCAAACTTTTTTCTGTGACTCACTCAACTGTCGATCGAAGTAAAATGATAGATGATGATAATAACGGTTTCAACTGTTGAACATTTCTCGCAAGCATGGGACTTAAAAAAGATATGACTACCCACGGGTAGAATCCTGGGAAGGACGATGAATTTCATGGAGTGAACTGAAATAGAAAAGACACGAAGATAATCGAACTCAACCCTTTACACCCTAACATCAGAATGCTTATTCTCCATACTGTTCTCCATACATTTTTAAAGAGGCTGACAAGGAGAATTTGTTTAACAATCAAGAGTTACTTTAGTTGGTGATCATTCCCTTTATTCTCGTGACTTTCATGTTTGTTTCAGGGGTGATATTGTAAGGAGAAATTAGATGCTAGTCACTCTAAAGGGCTAAAGGGTTAGGGATGCCGTGTGGAATTCAATCTGCATGGAATTGGGACCATTTATCATCAATTTTGATCAGATTAATTTTTTTTCCTGATTAAACAGGAAGGAACTCTACCACCTCCAACGCTTCAAGAACTTCTCCAAATGGCTGGAGAGATTGCCGATGGAATGGCGTATCTTGCGGCTAGAAAATACGTGCACAGGTAGGATTTATACCTCATAGCTGCCTTACAAATAGACTAAGTGTCTGAACAGATTGACGCGTGGGCAACTATCCAGCTGTTCATTAGATTCTTGAAATTTTTACACTGAAAGAAGGTGGCCAAGGTAAGATGTTGAGCCATTCCCAGGCCCAAAAGTCAAGTCTTAACGAACTCAGAATGTGACAATTTTCTAGGTGAAATATTCATATTTCCTTGACGTGTTAGAATCAGGATCTTTTCTAACGGAATACTTCTTTTGTTAAAGAGATCTCGCGGCACGAAACTGCATGGTAAACGCGGATTTTACTGTTAAAATAGGAGGTAAGTTTTTAGTTATTCAATCGTTCTAAAGTCTGTCATGTGTTCAAGTTGGGTCGTCATGTCTTTGATGTGTTTGTGTTTCATTTGCTATCGTGGTGGTATATATCTTTTAAATGAGTATGTATAACATTGTCTTAACAGATTTTGGAATGACCCGTGATATTTACGAAACAGACTACTACAGAAAAGGAGGAAAAGGTAGCTTTATTTAATTAATGCATTCTTTCCTTATCCGTGATTCCCTGTCAATTTCCCGGCATCCTTAGTTTGTCGAGTTCCGATCTGTGAGACCTAGGCCGAGAACCACAGCTCGTGTCTCCTCTATATTCTATTGCGCATGTAGCCAAGATTAGAGGGAATTCAACTTTCTCCTAGTTACAATTTCAATCATCCTTTAGGTTTGCTTCCTGTGCGGTGGATGGCGCCTGAGTCTCTAAAAGATGGCGTTTTTACAAGTTATAGCGACGTTTGGTAAGTTGGAGAGAGGTTGTTTGAGAGAAAGCATGATAGTATTCACAGCATTTTTGTGTGATTATGCGCTGTCAAAGCAATTTTCAATTGAGTGACGAAAGAAATCTTTGATTGCTTTGTTTTTGCTTTACTTCGTTATGTTCTTGTTCCAGAAAATTCGCGCCACTTTCACAACCAATTAGATTCAAAACCAAAACCAGTGGCGACTTGGTCCCTCGCACTTTTCCGCGCTTTAGGCAGTTTCTTTTTTATACTTTGATTTCTCATTGGCCCCTCGTGATATCTCTTTTCCTATGATTGGTTGTGTTGAGAAGTGTCCTTTTTTCCAACTCGAGCTTCTGAAAACATGACGTTAAGGTGTGATGCCAAACTTGATTAATTTTTCTTTGTTATGTAGCTCAACAGAACGCTGTAACTATATACGATTTTTGCCTGTTTTAGGTCATTTGGCGTGGTGATGTGGGAGATGGCTACATTGGCAGCCCAACCCTACCCTGGAAAGTCCAATGAAGAGGTCCTTAAATATGTGGTGGACGGGGGAGTGATGGAGAAACCCGAGGAATGCCCTGATAGGCTGTAAGTCACGTGGCTGTTAGCTTATGTGTAGTATGTTGTTTGGCTCTTTTGGTTAAAAACAGTGATCTCACCTTGAGCTACCTTTTTCTTCATTAGGGAAAAAATATTAATTTATCAAACCAAAAGGAAATCCTGTTATACAGGATAAAGAAGCTTCCCACGGATTTTCTGAATGACAAATTTCAAGATATTGTATTGGATTTTTTAAGGATTGTTACACTGAACGCTCTATCGCCTTCAAGGTTCTCATCCTATAAATTTCAAACCCAAAATAACGAGTAACTAGTTTCAAATTTTTCCAGTCAATAACCACCCTGAATCACACGTAAAGGTCACGAGAATGAAGGAAATGGTCACCAACTAAAGAAGCTCTTACCGATGATTGTTAAGCAAAGTCTCCTCGTCAGCGCCTAAGGAAATGTATAGAGAACATTATGGAGAATATGCATACTGATGTGAGGGTGTAAAGGGTTAACGCATGCCGAGATTTTCGAGTTCCGTTTTTCCATGTAAGTTCCGACAGTACTTGTACGTTGACTTGTGACATTTATGTTGTGGCTTTCGTTTCAGTTACGAGTTGATGACACTTTGCTGGCAGTTTACTACCAAAGCCCGACCAACCTTTGTGTTTCTCATTAGTGTGCTTGAGAACGACTTGTCTGAAGACTTCCGACATCTTTCTTTTTACCACACTCTTCCAGAAGACCAGCTAAAAGGCCTGTTAAGCAGTCATTACAAGCACAAGAACAGAGCTGAAACAACGGGCTCTACTAACAACGTTGAATCGGCGGCTTAATGTATAAAACGATGTTAAGAGCTGCCTTTTCGCCCTAGTTTATTATAACTAGAGCTCTTCTCTGTCAAAACCTTGTGTTATGTGTAGGACCTTCTACTATTTCGATAGGCGTTTTATAATAGCAACAAAGTATGTATTTGGATGCCTTCTTATGCTACTATTTCCTCTGCCCGATGAAAAAGTATTTACGAGAAATTTCGGACGTTTTTTAGGTCAGAACGTGTAAAGGTGACTTCCGAACTCCAGGGGAGTCTAGGAAATAAGCTCTATATCCCTTGGGGAGTTGGATTTTCACAACAACATTCGTCGATACCTGTAAGTAAATTGTGAAAAAAAAAAATTTTAAAAAAAACTCAACTTTCATCCCGAGGAAAAGAGAAGGGGGAAAAAAGCCCTTAGCTAAGCGATAGTCTGATAAATTAATATGCTGTCTAGATCATTCTTTGGAAGTTGGCTCTAAGAAATTGTCATACAAAGAAAAAAGCTATATTAAAATTAAAGTATTCATCTCTGTACACACGCATCTTCTTCTTTGGAAAAAGGCCCGATGAAAGCTGCAGTCTGGAAGTGAACCAACGTTACTATGACCACATTGGCTAGACAACACAGCGGTCAAACTTAAGGGGGTTAATTCTGGCCGGCCGCGCTCAAAATTTAAAAGGGAAACTTTAAAAAAAAAAACGACTTTCTTGCAAAACACGCGAAAGAAAATTGAAATATTTATAGAAATCTGTGGTAGGGAAAGGAGAACTCGAGACGTTTCGAGTACAAAGCTTATTCAGGTACAGGTATCCTGTTGATTTACCATTCTGTTTGAGCTTCACGGAGAAAGTTGTACGCTTTAAAACGCCGTAACTTGGTGGCCTACTGACATACAGCGAAAGAACTTTCCAGTTCTGATTGAAATGAAAAGCATTGCTGTCAGTGCTAGCTTTTCGTCTCAATAACTTAACAGTTTCAATAGCAGTGTTGCAAAGCCAGGCTGAACAAGTACAAAGTATTCCAATAGCAGGTGCACACCCATAGTTCCCCCTATTAGCGAGTTTCGTTGTAGGCAAGCTAGTGGTATCCTCGTATCCTTAATTTGGGTTGGGTGAACTTGGCGGGGGCAGTGTTGAGTCATCTATTTATTGATTTTTATTATTATAATTTTTAATTATTATTATTATTATTGTTATAAATATTGATATTTACGTCGGCGATATTGTGAACCAAATAATAATGAAAAAAAAAAACCCCAGGTTGATAACAAGCAAAACGATGTTTGTGCACGTTAACGGAGTCATTATACTCTATATTCAGCGCCCTTGTTTACAATTTTCTTTTTAACAAACACGTGAGAAAAATACGAGTTTCATTTCAACTTTCTTCTGCAGGTAAGTGACCTGTCATTTTTTTCCTCGCCGGGGGGATGGAGGGATATTTTTGTGGGGCGATCGCATAGTTTTCAGGAGCAACAAAGGGGGGATCAGTCGTTGCTAACAGGGTTTAAGGGGGGTGCTAAAGAAAATTGACCATATCACGAAAATATTACAGAGCCTCATAGAGGGTCAGTGAACTTTATTGTGACACAACCAAACTCCCCTTTCCCCTCCCCACAGGCAATAAATAAGGACGACCATTTCTCGTGCTTCTCCCTTCTCCCCACTTCCCAAACACTCCCTTTGAGAGCTGTCCTAAGTAGGCTCATTGTATCCCTGAAAAAGCAACACTCTCTTGATTAAATCTTAACAAAAACATTAGTTGGTGAGAATCACAAAGTAACCCTATGTGTTATTGTTTCCTTCATTGACAGAAAGGCTTAGAATTAGACTTGAGATGCAAAGTAACCCTATGTGTTATTGTTTCCTTCATTAACAGAAAAGGCTTAGAATTTGACTTAAGATGCAAAGGAATGAAATCAGCACCCCAGCTGGACCCAGTGAAAAAGTGAAGAGTGAATATACTTTCTGTTTCAAGCAGAGAAAATATTGATGACAGAAAGATCTTGCTTTCATGAGGCAGTCAAATAATGGTTCATACCCATGGGGTCGCAAGGGATCCTGTTACTACTTTCTCACCCCCTCAAAAAGAAGGAAAGAACTTCAGACTGAAAGCCCCTGAATGATAAGATAATCCGCCTTCAGGTTCCTCAGGAGAGAGAGAGCAACAATGAGGGTTTAATGTATTGAGATGATTTTCAAGGATTCAAATTAAATTTAAAAATTTTGAAATCTTGCCAATATCAACATGGTACTGAAGCGAGTGCTTGATGAGGCGAGAAGAGTCGAACTTAGGCCTTATTTCTTTCGAGCGCTGCTATCAATCACGTTCTGCTATTCGTTTATGTTCATGCAACCCTCATGCAATAAAATTAAAGGCCAATAGTCAATTGACAAATATAGCATGTAAAACCAATTGAACATATGTACAGGCATTGTCAAAAAACAAAAGAACAAAGGGTCGAAACGTAATTAATGACGCGAATCAGACAAGGTGAACTTCCCAGCTAGCTATTTTCGATTTCGATCTCGTAATCGACGAAAATGAAATGGTCAGACTGAGAGAGAGTCAACAAACAAGATGCAATGAGCTGTAATAGCAGCAAAGATTTAGTGTTTTATTGTTGTTAACGACTGGTTTCGAAACTGACAACAGGTGGTTACGCAAAGTACATAACAAAACACGTACGCACGAATGACACACGTCCAATTTCCGGCTATGTTAAATATAATCTTTAGCTGTATACAAGAAGAGCGTTTTAAAATAACTTATCCAATTTAACGTCTGTTTGTTCTTACAATAGCGTTTTTTAATCTCTATCTACAACTAAGTTTTATAAACAGCATTTACAAATGTTATGTATATAACAATGGGCGACATTTATCTGCTTTCAACGCGTCGTTATTACCCTTAAAGATACACTATATGTACAAGAGAAGCCGATTATTGCTGCTAGAAGGTCCTAACGACAATGTATTGCAATTTACAGCAGCCTTTCGAATCAAACTCATATTTTGAAGCATAAAACTGCTTCAGGCGATTTATCCCAAAGGGATTTTCATTTTAGGGTGACAAACGACATCGATCTCTCAACAGTGAAATTCAAGGGCTAGCCAATGGCAAGTTGATAGTCGACCGTAGGTGATGACAGCTCACTTCCCAAGGGCATGTCAATTTTAACTTGAAACCATTTCCACGTTGTCGATGGCAGAGGAAAATAGCGACAATACAAGTAAATATCGCATATAACGTAAAGCGACAGGTTCGTATGGAACCTTAAGTACATGTAAATGGAGGTTCATACCAAAACGCCGTGAACGATTCGGTCATTTTTAAGTTCTTGAAACCTTCTTGAATGGCCTTCTTCTACTCCAATTATCCATTCTTGCTGCTCCTCACTTGAAATTTGAACGCATTGTTGAGCTCGTCGCCGATGGCTTGTAGGATCTGGCCAACTTGTTGCGGAGTTACATTGTTATTATTTAACAAAATCTCCTCTAAATTCGATTGCGTCATAGTTTGTTGGCGGTTTTCCACATGGTCCGATGATCGTGTACTGTTCACATTTTCGCTTCTTCTTCTCAAACTGTCTTCTTGCTCGACAAAATTAACATCGCTAGACGCTGTGATTCTGCTTAGAGATGACTCCATGACTCAGTATGTTTATATTCTACAGCACAGATTCAAACCGTCACGAATCTCGACAGGAGCAGTCACGAGTAAGTTTCAGCTGGGGTCCTTTCAGCTAACGCAGCACTCAGTTCTCGAACCCCTTTTAAAATCAAAACTTCGTTTGCGAACTGTTCAAATGTATCTCAATAGACGATTGTTAATGTACAAAATGTCCTCTTCTGCGACCCACTCAGCCGGCAACCGGCGAAACCACTTCTCTTCTTGAATATCGGGAACACAACAGCCGTGCAAATCGTCAAAACGGTGGCAATATAAACTGCGTATCTCCCCTCGGGAAAGGCTGTGGTCCTCAGAAACTGTATCAAACGGTAGAAATTATCTCGGCGAATGTTAAATCAAAGATTAGATCTCCTCGCTATTCGAACTCGACTCTTCACCTTCAATAGTAAATTGAAACAAACAATAGTTCCCGGCGGTCCAAGAAAATTTTTAACCCCGAGAAAAATGTGGTAAAAATAACCTTGACGAAGCAACGTAATCAACCAATCAGAGGGCTGAAAACAGGGACCTGATTAGGCATGTGAGGGGAATGTGTGTTTTGGTCGTTTTTGCTGCGAAATCACATTTAGCACGCGTCTCCCGCGTGTTATCGTTTTCGCTGAATCAGACCTATATTGGTCCAATACTGGCACTTGTATAGGACAGCATATTTTGTCCAAGGATCCTCCTTACGCCCCCGCATCCAAATAGGCCAATGAGATCACTGTAATTTTAAATGCCTTGACAAGGTTATAAATATTCAGTAATCTCTAACTTCTGTTCGGCTTTCTGGACTGCGGAGATGGATGAAGGTAATTTCGATTTGCCCACTTTTGAAAGCGTCAAATCCTTCAAATCACTCAGCTTTTCGAAAGCTGGATTTTCCCTTTTATTTTCTTACCATTGAAATTCGCTTGTAGGCAGATGGGGAGAAGAAACGCCTTCCGAACAGTACACAACGAAGACTTTATAGTGCGAAGGAAGAAGGGACGAGAAAGTGAAAGCGCGTGTGGTCTGTGCGAGTAAATGCTCAAAAAAATTCAAAGCCCCATGGAAAGCCGACACAAACTGCCCAGCGCGGATGATTCGCCGATTGCCCAACAAGCCAAGGATCTAGCCAAAGATTTCATATCTTACAGACTTGGAAATAACCCAATCCCTGTATCACCCACTGCTGCTACTCTACGCAAACTTGCCGATCAAATCGAGGAGCAATACCCTTTACTATTGAACCATTTGTGCCACAAATTAAATATAACTCCAGCAACTGTCTATCAAACGTTTTTCGAAATCGCCAGTGAGGTATTTGTAGATGGAGTTAACTGGGGAAGGATTGTAGCTTTGTATGCCTTTGGAGGAAAGCTGGCTATGTATTGCGATCAACACCATATGAAAGAGCTTGTTGGATCGGTAACTGACTGGGTTGGAAGATATGTTGGCGGCCTTTGTGAATGGATCGAAAACCATGGTGGATGGGTGGGTAACTGGTTTAAATGCGATCTACTTCGTACTGTCTTGTGTTATATTTTTAGTTTAACTCTGTGTCCTTTACTTGAACCCGAGGCAAAAATTAACTACATTAAATACCGCTTGGATATTTTTAAAACCCCGCCGACTGACATTGGAGGGTCGTAATAATTCGAAATTCTTTCGTAAACAAAGAAAGGTTGAAGACTGTATGTCGGTTTCAGCTGCTACTGACTGGTATTTATAAATAATAAAAGGTCTTTTTCTTCTAATCAGTCGGGGACAGGGAAAATTTCGAAGATTCAGACGTCATTACATCCTAAGCGCTGAATAGTGACAAAAAATTCAAACAAAAGAACCATAATTGCTTAGCGTGTTTTTTGTTAGAGAGGAA